GTTTGTCAATTTATGTCCATGCAACTTTAGAATGACAACTAGCGAAGGCTATGTCATTCATGACTTGTCCAACTGTAATTTGCTTCCCTCATGCATGTTGTCTTCATTTTATGCTTGATCTATGTATTTAGAAATGAATAGATGTAATGACAGCACCAGAGGCTCGCTGCCTGGTTTTTTTGTCTCCTCATCTTCGAGACGACTGTGAAGAGGTTATATTCAGAATTTACCAGCATAGAACCCGCATCCGAAATGTTTTTTGCCATGGCTGCGTGCGGTTTCAGAGTTTTCGCCTTGAATGCACGTGTTTTTCACTGGACTCTGAGGCCTGATCAAAATCGCTGAGACTGACCGTGTCGCTCGTATTTTCACAGCAAGGTCGCACGTCCAGTAAAAATCGGTTAAAGTGAGTTGCGTGTTTGGCATGAGTGGAAAGTCCTCACGCTCGGCTACCGGTACTTTGTGTACAGAGACGTCGAGTAGGATGCCCAATGGTGGAGGTACCGATATTTTTTTCAGCCTACCCCCGCTGATCGGAGGGCATCCTCACAGTCTGGTTTACCCGATTTTACCAGCTAGCTGTGCCTTTGTGGGTTTTGACTCCCTTCTTACCAACCCACGGGCGTCTCCAGAGGGAACCAACCCTGTCATGAGATGCACAGTTGAACACGCTCTCTCACATATTTTAAGTTGAAAAGAGACAGTTTGCTCACGTTTGATACATCGGCACCTCGGGCGGTCCCTCAGAGTCTTCCAACCGTAACGACTCGGTGAGCCATGCCATTGGGGTGATGCAGAGTATCATCGATCCTAAGGCGACCACTTACGGCTGCTTCAACGCTTATGGGATCACGGGCGTCAGGATCCAAAGCAACCCTGTTGACACGTCTCTTCCTGTTCGACCGAGTGGGGTGCAGGGTGCGCAATGGTATTGATGGCCTCACCAAACGCTACTCAGTCGGTGTGGGATTAGACCAAAACACCCCCAACTGGATCCCATGGCTCCTTCCCCAGACCCTGGTACCATTAATTTCCGTTTGGCAAACCAGGTAAAGGGGCAGGGCAGATGTCCTTGAGCGCATTAGCGTGCATGCCCAGGACTCTTAAGACCTCGGAGGCAGAATGAACCAACCTCCTAGACCAGGCGACACATTTACTGGTGGGCCACCGCACATCTACGTGTGACATCCCCTAGTGTCACCTGGCTCTCTTGGCCAGGGCCACTACTGTGCAACGAGACGCGGTCTTAGACGTGTGTGTTGTTGCCGGCAAGCTGAGTCAGGGGTACGTCCCCACCTTAGTGACGTAGACTGGACATCTTCCACCCTCTTTGTTCGGGGAATGGCGCGTGCAGTCTCGGAGCTTCGGAGTGCAATGAACCAGAGGGTTCAGATCGAATCCGCTAGCCAGTTGGCCCTGCCAAGGGTAAACGGAGGGCGCCCCAAGTACAGAAAACACAATGCCCTAGAGCGTCGTCTGCTAGCCAGAGTCAGCCAGGAGGCAAGCGCTCATGCCCTTCCATGGGAGGGAAGAGTATCGGTGGACCCCCAGGGAGGAAGGGTCCAGGTGGTGGCTCCTCACCCTCCTCAGGTGG